AATTAAAAAAAAAAAAAAAAAAAAAATAAAGATACTTCTGTGATGATATTAACTTAAATTATAATATTGATGATTTTCTGAATACAATTTCGAAAAATATAGTTTTAATTAGGGAAAATTAAACATGGCGTATTACAGCTAGCTCGAAAATTAATACATACACCTTGAAAGTCTAGTGACTTTATAGAAGAGTTTATCTCATAGCTACATGGGGATGTAGCTTTTATAAAAGACCAATCAATACACGTAAGACAATCCACCGATCTTTCTCTCCCTTTTTATTCTTTCAACTATCTTTCTTACTCTTTTTTTTTCTCTTCTTATACACTCTCCTTGTTACTCCTTCCCCTTTTGACTTTCCTCTCCTCTATTTATCCATCCTCTCTTTCCACTCACCTATATATATGTAATATGCTTATATTCACTATATTCTTCTGTCTCTGTGTTGAATCTATTTTCTCTTTTTATTCGTCATTCCGTATATTTGTCTTTCATTTTATTTTATTTTTGAATGGCATAAACATCATCTAGCGTGGGCATAAATATCATCCAGAATGGATGGAAAAAAAAGATAAAAAAAAAATCAAGTTTTGTAAAATTTTAAATTTATTAATTATTAAAATTTTTTTCACTTTTTTCTTTTCTTTTTTATTTTTGGAATTCAATATAAAACCCTTAATATTAGGAAAAAATTCTTTTCGAAAGCCATTGTATTTATATAACATACAAAGTAATCATATTAGTCTTATTAAATTCACACGATATATATTTTATAAAACATTATTTCATATTATTATATATTTATAACTTATAGTATTGTACAATAAATTGCAATGTGCGAAATATGAAGTTATCGATATACATATTTAAATATCAATAATGACATCAAGAACTGACTTACGTAGTTGGTATCCAATAGAAAAAAATATGAGAGCAAGAACCTCGTGATAGGCACGGCCCTGACAGAAGCGCAGGCGTCCTTGCGATTGAGTGACGTCATGAGTCTAAGGCACGGGGCGTTATACGCTTATCAATGAACGTACGACGCCTACGGCAGATACCTGTTTTCTAGTAACTAACACCCTCTCTTACCCGCTCTATCTTTGCACCCCATACAATTTATCCTTCGCTCAACTATGATTTTATAATCGATTAAATGTCAATTTAAAAAAATTTTTTTAAATATTCATTATCCATGTTTTTAAATCATTGCATTTTAATTTTGTACATATTCTTCTCATTTGCAACATAAATACACAAACATATCTTACTCATTGAGTAATTTGATCTCAAATCGATTGCGTACTATGATTTTATTTGAATTGAATAGAAAGAGGTCAAATATATGTATATTGTTTGAACTTTTTATACATTATGGTATACATTACAATCATATTTTATAAAAATAGAAATATTTTTTGATTTTTTGATAACAAATTTGTACTGAAATATTTTCGTTTTTATCTTTTTCCTCTTTTTATATTGACTTTGAATATTAAAATTGAATATAATTAAAAATATTTTTTATATTGTACTATTAATTTTTCTCAATAAATTTTTAATAATTATGCATTCCTTTACAAATGTATAATTATACTAATTAATTTTTTATTTTTTTTTTTCATATGTTTTTATATTTTTCGTTCATTCATCATTTGCTTTTTCATAATTTTAATGATTTAAAATTATGATATTCATTTCATTATTTTGAATTTCAGAAATTAATCAATGATATAAAATAATTATAATACTTAAAATTTTATTAAAAGTATTTAATTATCTTTAATATATATTTATATTGTAACAATTGTAGAATTCTATCATAAACAAACTGATTCAACTTATGTTATTTTCTCTGATAATATAAAGCATTCTTTTTAATGTTAAAATAAATATGTTTTAAAAAATGTTATAAAATGATTTATATTAAAAATAAAAAAAATTAAATATTTTTAATTTTTATTAATTAATAAATATCTATAAGAGGAAGCAAATATTATATATTTTTTCTAAAATATAAAAAAGAAGCTTTAAAGTATTTTCTAAATATAGATTATTACAAGATGATATTTGCAATTAAACATCTAAATAAGCAAATAATACTTAGGAAAGTAAGTATATACCGTCCTGTAACGTACGATTTCGTGTCCTTTTCTGATTCGTCAACGCTAAGCGCTGCATTTGCTTCACCTGTATTTAATCAAGCACATTGTACTGTAACATTTGAGGTTATTTTCAAGCAGTAACTAGAAGAAGAAGTTCAATATAACTATTCGGCTCTTTTTACATTTCTCTTCTTTTAGTTACATTTATATATGACCGGTTGCCAACTTTATGAAAACGTGCGATAATCAAGAAGTTGGTTAATACGTAGCGCACATCGCTATAAAAGAATTGTTTTTACTAAATTATCGTTTCTTGAATGATAAGAAACATCTAAAAAGTTATTGATAGTTTCCTGCCAGTTATAACATGCTCTCATCAATTGTAATATTTCTTATTATTGGAATTGCGGCTGCTGAAGACTGCAAAGGATGTGTTTCTCTGGATTCTTATTCCTTTGACAAGGTATTTTATGAATACATCAAAAATGATAAAAAAAAAAAATAATTTTAATTCTTGAATTAATAGGCTTAAAAAGTAATTATTTGAAAATAAACAAAAATCAGTTATTTTTTTAAGTTTCTTTGTTCTTTTTATCTTGTTGATTAGATAATTTGTTGCCATGGTTATAAGACGCTTAGTTACGTCATATACATGTCTAATATATATATGTAAAATATAGAAATTTATATAATAGAAATTATATATATTAATACGTATGAAAATATTATATTTATACATATTATGTTTTTTTTTTTAATACAAAACGAATAATAAGTATTATTTTGATTAATAAAAAACATTCGCTTGTTATAAATGTATTATTGATTTAAATATTTATTATAGCAAGTTATTGTATAAATATCTAATAATATTGTAATGTTCATAATATAGGTGGTACCGAAATTCAAAGCTGCAATTGTTAAATTTGATGTAGCATTTCCATATGGAGAAAAACATGAACAATATGCGCAAATAGCCGCCGCAACAAAAGATTCTCATGATTTGTTAGTAGGTGAAGTGAGAGTGAAAGATTATGGCAATAAAGACAATTCTGATCTTGCTACTCGATATAAAATAAAGTCCGAAGCTTTTCCCGCTATTCTTCTATTTCTTCAAGGAAAAACAGATCCTATTCAGTTCGTTGCAGAAAAAGAAACTGATTTTACCGCGGATAATATAAAACGATTTGTTAAAACAAAGTCTGGAATATATCTTGGTTTACCCGGTTGTGTGGAACAACTTGATAGACTTGCTGAAGAATTTAGGACTAGCGGAGATTCGGAAAGAAAGGTAATATTATATTATATATATAATTTATATTTATATACGTGTCTATATATATGTAAATATATATATATGTACATACATATATTTACATATAAATAACAGTTTATAAGTTATAATTATTTTTTTTATATTTTTCGTAGGAAATATTAAACAAAGCTAAAGTCTTTGAAGAAACATTACCCGAAACACAACGCGCTGCGGCAAAAGTTTACGTTAAAACTATGGAAAAAATATTAGAAAAAGGAGATGTTTTTGTTCAAACAGAACAAACAAGAATAGAAGGCATATTAAAAGGGAAATTATCAAATGAAAAGAAACGTACAATGGAAGAAAAACGTAATATCCTTCATTCTTTCTTATACAGAGATGAATTATGAAGAAATTATCATATTATAGTATTATTAAATTTTGTTATGCATACTTTTGTAAAAATAGTATCATATTGAAATTGAATAATCATTTTCAAATCCAATATTTTACATTAATTTTTTATATTATAAAATAACAAGAAAAAGTTGAAGATGTCAATTCTTACTTCAAATCATTCCAATATCTCTACAATTTGTAATGCAAAGCTGCAATTTATAATAGTTGTAAAAAATTGGAAAAATATTTAAAAGGAATAAAATATTTAAAAAACCTATTTCAAATTTTAAAAACAGATATCCTCCTGTAAACATTCAAATTTTAATATTATTTTAATTTCCATGAAATGCGCATGGATATATAAAAATATATATTATAGAAGATATTTAAAAAAATTTAATAAAATTATAACCAAGTAAATTTTCAAACATATAGAATTAAACAGTTGTTCTACTTTTTAATTTCTTATTCCTGTCAGATTCAATATGTGTTAACTTCTTCATCATAGTATAAATGCTAAAATATTCTTCATTAAGAAATCACAGACAACATATAACGATTGTATAAATATTGAAAATTTGTTTAACTCATCTATTAACGTTGTTGTTAAAATATTTCCCTACATTAAATTCACTGATCAAATATTAAACATATGCATAGATGTATGTTTATGTTGGAATGTGCATTTATAAATAACATCTCTAATTCAGAGATGTAAATTTTATTTTTACTTTTTCTCATCCTCAACTTGCAATTGCTCAAGTCCTTTAGACACTTTGTCCATACTTTCTTCATCTTTTACTTGTTTCTCAGAAGCTTCCACTTTTTCATTATCTTTAATTTTTAAATCTCCTTCAGCCAATTTATTTTGTTCTTCATTATCAGTACTTTCACTATAACTTACATCACTAGAAGGTTCACTATCACTCTCAACATGTTTTTCTTCTGTATTATTTTTTCCAGCATATATCTCGCATTCAGATCCTACTATCTTCTTTGCTTTTTCAAATGCTTCTTTCCAAACAGTTGCATCTATAATAATTAGTATTATTAGTTATTATTAGTTATTATTATACAATTAATAATTAGTATTTAAAATCATGTTTTCTATTTATATTTATTCATTAATAATATATTTACTTTCTGCATTTGCAAATCTTATAGCAAGTAGCTCTGGCTTAAGTTGTTCATCTGCATAATCAGCAAGTACACTCCATACCCATGCTCTATCACTACCACAATTAGGTTTCAATTCCATCCAAGGAGTTACAAAATGATTAGCACAAATTTTAAGTGTTTTATCTCTACGCATTACAACTCTTACTGTATTTTTTGTTTTATGTCTTAATAATTTTACTTCTCCAGTACCACGTTCTTTCCATTCTGCTGGATTATTAGAAGAATCATAACGATATAATTTTGCTCTCCTATAAATAATATAAATATATAATAAAACTTATAATATATACATATGTTAGTAATTCATAAAAGGATAAGAATTTACATTTTTATCATTTCAACTTCATCTTCCTCATTGTTGGAAACTTCTATTAATGGCAAAGAAATTATTGGTTCAAAATGTACATCTGCTTCATTGTTATCTTCATCATTATCTTGAGCTTCACAATTAGCACTCTTTACATCAACATGATCTCCATTTATCTATAAATTAATAAAAAATAATTTATAGATTTAAAAATATAAAAATATAAAAAATTATGTAATCGAAAATTCTATTATTTCTAATTGATAAAAATAAAATATTTTTCAAGCGAAATGAAGATACATGAACGATATACTATTTTGTTTCTAAATGGACGCGACAATATAACCTATAGCGTCATTTGAAAAATTTTAATTAAATAATTATAATAAATTTATTTATTAATACACTAATAACAATGATATGGGATTATAAAAAACAAAATATTATATTTACCACGTTTTCTGGCATTTTTTATCAGTTTTGAAAAAGAAATTATACAATCACTTAATAAATACCGCCAATTCAACCTGTTTAATAGTAAACCGTGATATTGTATAATAGACCTCCATGATAATTCATAGGTATATGTTTAAGACATTTACAATCATTGTTTCCTATTATATAAAAAGTACATGTCGAAATATTTTTAGATTTTTTATTTAAATAAAATTACTTATAAATGTATAGTTTACGAATTTATTAAAATAAATATTTCAAAAAATAAGATAACTTTAAATGATATGGGGAATTTAACAATAAATTTTACCACAAAATTTCCCTATATTTAGTTTCATTTATATTTGTGTTTACTTGAAACCACACATGAAACAATTATTTTAATATATTTAATTATTTCTAATTGTTATATAAATAAATTATTTAATAATTGAAATAATTTTTTTATTGAAAGTTATAATTTCATTAATTAATATCAGAAAATATCAGAATTATGAATTTTTCTTTTTTTATAAAATTCACAAATTCAGTATATGCACATATTTACGAATATGTACGTATTACGTTCGATAAATCGACCGATCGAAATTTATCGAATAAGAAGAGCTCGAACTTGTAGAGGGGGTAAAAGGGAGTGGAGTGCGCGGTTGTCCGGGCGGCCATTGCGGGTACATTGTCCGAAACCGCGAATGCAATTGAGTGCTGTGTGCCACAGTAGTGAAATCCACGAAAATCAAAGGTCATCCCTAAAAGAAGGTACTCCGTGTAAAGCCCGGGACGCGCACAAAACCACGGCCCGATGGCTGAATCTGATAAACTTAATATTGACAACATCATAGCTCGGCTCTTGGAAGGTAAAGCTACTTATTTGCCCTCCTTGAGGGGGGGTGTAATGAGACAAACTGTCGCCCGCGTCACCCTTTGTTATACTTTTTCCATACATGTATTTTACAACTCGGATGAATATTTTTTCGAAGATACTATGTCTTTTATTTTTTTTAAACTATTTTTTATCTTCTTCTACTTATCTCTTTTCTTTGATCGATTACGCAATTTTCTTTAAATATAACTGATTTGAAATATTCTAAATGAAGTAGCAGTTGCTTGTTTACATAAAATAAGATTAACACTGCGTAATAGAAGTTATTAATTTTCGAACATTTTTGTCAGCATTTTACACGATTACTGCCACATATCTTGACGTTTTTAATATTGTCTCTCTTTTTTTGTATTGTTTATTGTTTATATATTCAAAATATATTAATAAATGAAATTATCTATTGGAAAATTTGTTTTAAAATTTTCAGTATTACCGTTATAAAGAAAAAATTTAATTCCTTATTATAAACAAGTAAACGAATACATACATTAGATATTTAATTTATATTTTTTAATATAATAACTATTATTTATTTCTTTTTTAAAAGATTATATTTTTAATAGTATATTAATTATTATTACTTAAATTAAGTTAAATAAATTTTAGTATTTGTTTATATGTTTCAACTGATGGAATTAAAGAATAAATTAATAATAATAATAAAAATTATAGAAGATAAATTTGATCAAAGCAAAGAAACTTTAATCTTTTAGTGCGTGGAGCCAGGCCAGGAAAAAATGTTCAATTGACAGAAGGAGAAATAAAAGGACTCTGCTTGAAGTCACGTGAAATTTTTCTATCGCAACCTATTCTGTTAGAACTTGAAGCACCACTTAAAATATGTGGTAAATTTTAATTTTGTTTTATAATTTAAATCTTATGTTTTTGTTTAATTATAATATAAATATTTAAAATTATTTTTAAGGTGATATTCATGGTCAATATTATGATTTATTACGACTATTTGAATATGGTGGATTTCCACCAGAAAGTAACTATCTATTTCTAGGAGATTATGTTGATAGAGGAAAACAGTCTTTAGAGACAATTTGTCTCCTTCTTGCCTATAAAATCAAATATCCTGAAAACTTTTTCTTACTTCGTGGAAATCATGAATGTGCATCCATTAATAGGATATATGGATTTTACGATGAATGTAAGAAAATACATTTAAATATAATTTATTATTTTGAAATATATAAATATTAATATTTACATAATCTAATATTTACTTAGGTAAACGACGTTATAACATTAAATTATGGAAAACATTTACGGATTGTTTCAATTGTTTACCCGTCGCAGCAATAGTTGATGAAAAAATATTTTGTTGCCATGGTGGCCTTAGTCCAGATCTACAAAATATGGAACAGATCAGACGTATCATGCGACCAACAGATGTACCTGATCAAGGCTTATTATGTGATTTATTATGGTCTGATCCAGACAAAGATACAATGGGTTGGGGAGAAAATGATCGTGGCGTATCGTTTACATTTGGAGCTGAAGTCGTTGCCAAATTTTTACATAAACATGATTTTGACCTCATATGTCGTGCCCATCAGGTACTTGTAATATACAATATTTTTAGTTTTAATATATTATTTATTAAAATCTTATTTTTTAAATCTAATTATTCAATTTCATGAGATATTAATAATTTATAAATTATGATATTTATAATTTTGTAATCTACTAATTAAAAAATTGAAAAATTGAAAAATTGAAAAAAAAAATTTTAGGTAGTAGAAGATGGTTATGAATTTTTCGCAAAGAGACAGTTAGTTACCTTGTTTTCGGCACCAAATTATTGTGGCGAGTTCGATAATGCTGGAGCTATGATGTCCGTAGATGAAACTCTAATGTGTAGTTTCCAAATTCTAAAACCAGCCGACAAGAAGAAATTAACGTATGGAGGCTTGAACGCAAATAGACCAGTGACACCTCCGCGAGGTGGTGGAAATAACAAAAGCAAGAAGAAGTGAAGTCCTTAGATTTGTTTCTCATCTTTTTTTTTTTTTTTTTGAATGCAATGTTTAGAACTTTAAAATAACTCCCTTAAAACCCATAGTCTTTTAAGACATTAATTTCCTGTAAGAGAAAAGATGTTATTGTTATTATTTCTCCTAGTATCGCTATTACTATTATCAACGCTATTACCATATTATTTTCGAATTTATTCTTGTATTCCGCTCATACATTAACGATCACATTTTAAGTAAAAAAGAAAAAAGAGAAAAAAAATCTGGAGGGGCATAGTTTGCTAAGCGAAAAAAAAAAAAGTTCATTAATAGAACAGTTTAAACCAAAAGAAAAAAGAAGTTATTAAATGAGTGTCTATAAAGAAATTAAAATAAATTCAGTTACTCAAGATTATAGACTAGAAATTCGTCACAGCTATTATGAAATTCTATTAGAAGAATATATTATTCCAAACTGTAAGGAGACTTCCTGGCACGTTCATTCTTGATTCTTTGCTTAATATTTTCCTCGATGTTTTTGTAGAATAAACAATTTAGAGATCATTTGCGATATCACTGATTAAAGAATATGGCATGGTACAATTGATACAATTTAAGAGGCAATTTTATTATGCCATTCCTTGCTTCGATGGCATGCATACTTACCTTATCAATGAGATTATTAATATATACATAATATCGAATATAGTGGTTTTTGACGAATATTTTAAATGTGATACGTAAATTTGGCTTTATTACATTTATTCTGTAAATTGCACAAAATTTGTAAGTGACATACAGATACGACTTTCGTAAAGAGACCGTTTTTGTAGA